ATATTATCAATTTGACACTTTTACTTTAAGAAACTTGTCTAAATTCCTATAAGAATGGTTTTTGTTTCATCTTTCCTTAAGTTTGTTTTGGTGTCATGAAAATATTTTGCATTTAATATTGGATAAAAATGTTGTATCTTATTATTCATAAAAATTCAACTAATAATATATCAAACAATCTTTTTAGTGAGTTGAATAATAACAGCCATATTCAAATATTTTGGTATCAGTAATAGTCTCATGAGTAATAATGGTTGCTGTACTATTTCCTTTAAGGTGTGGAATTTTCAGAATGGTCACAATATTCATCAATGTGAGGCCGTAGCAGAAGCTGAAGTTACTGGTATTGTGTCATTCAGAGAAAAACGATCCATGCTATCAGTGGGTTGGAGTAGAAAAATTGTTGTCTATGATGACACAGATGGTGATGTAAGTACTGGGCTTGCTTTATTTTAATTATGCTCAGGAATATTAAAATAATAATGAGGGACTACATTTTGTGACATTAGCATCCAAACTACGATACAATGGATTCTTAAAATTATTTCACTCATTATTGTTATTATACCATTGTGGTGGATTAAGTATGGGTTTCTTTGGACACAGCTTTAATGCTATAGTAAAAAAGTCCCAGTGACACCATTGAACACCATTGAACCATCAAACCTGGAAAATTGAGCGACTTGCAGTACTTTTGTTAATTTTGTGCATTTAAAAATAATTGTGATGATTTGTGATTTAAAAATAATTGATGTAAATGATTTTATCTATTACCGGTAAACCCCATATCAAATCTACCATAAATTATTTGTTTATAGAATGCATTCATCAAAGCTGACATTTCATGGAGAGGAGGACAAGTACACAAAGATGACATCTTATCAGTGGATTACTGCTCTCCCAATCTCCTAGCAACCGCTAGTTTTGATGGAGAAATCATAGTCTGGAGTGTAGAGACAGAAAAGATGTTTAAAAGGCTCAGGAGAGGACAACCAAGTAAAATGTAAGTTTTTTTTTTCTCACTCACACTTCTGATGTTGTAAGGCTATCCAAACTGATAACATTTAGTTTTATTCACTTTATGAACTCTTGTTCATTGCAATTAAATTAACATACTGTAAAATGACTAATTTTCGCTGGGTTTAAATTTCACTGATTTACCATTTCAGGCATGTTCAGTTGGTTTTAAATTCATGGTTTTATCATTTAGATAATGTGTTATATGCTAAATTTTACATATTCATATTCCAGTCAGCGAAATAAGCAAAATTATAACTCAGTGAATAATTAACCCCTTTACAGTAATAACAATGCCAATTATGTATTGCGTAACAGTAATTTTATTGTCACCATGATGTTTTTTCTTTTAGGACGCGGAAATTGAAGCAAGCATTGTCTCATTTAGAAGGTGGCAGCCGTCCAGCCACTGGCAGCAGTACTCAGGGGTCACGACCTCTTAGCAGGTTCAGCAGTATGAATTCCCGTCCTAATTCCCGGCATCGGCAGCAGCATAAACCACCTAAAGGGTAAGGCTACTATCAGATTATTAACTGATAATGCCTGATGGTACCAAAAAACATTTATTTTTTAACATAGTTACACTTATGTCATTTATGTACATGCGCATGCTGGTACAATATGGTATTTTATTAGGAATGTATGACATTATGAAGATGGTGCACTTCTCATAGAACCCCAAAATTCATTGCTTTACACATAAACTTTGATTGGAGATTCTGAGTAAATACAGTTACATTTATTTGTTTTAAAGCAGGGAGTCCCAAGCGAAGATAACAACACGCGCTAAAAACGCAAAGGCTCATGGGTAGATGTTTGCGCAGGTTATCACATCCTCACTACTCATAAACTACATTGTATAGTAATACAAGTCATATTTACATTTGGTCCTAGTTTCACAGCACCAGTAGACAAGCTGTTGTTTCTACAACACCGGGTTACACAGGGGCAAACTGACAGTGCTGTACTCATATCAAGTGAAGCTGGCTATTTACATTTTTGGAGTGTCTATGGGTCACAACAAGACATGGGTAAGAGGATGTCTCATTTCCAAGCAGTTTGTGGGTAAACCTGCAGACTGGGCTAGATAGGAAAGAAAACTGTGTCTAAACTGAGATTTACAAAATGAGGGTACCGGTACATGTATTGTGTAATATATGCAGTGAAGATTTTGTGCGATTTGGATAGCTTACATGAATTACAAGATGATCTCAAAGTTGCAATACAAATATACATTTATTCAATACTAATGCAAATGAGCGAATCTGTGAAAGAACTGGTTCGTGTTTATCTTTGTCATTTTTTGCTGGTTTCCTTGCTTATTTTCAAAACATGAATGTGTTTTGTGTTTTTGTATATAGTGATAATCTCACTTTCTTCTGTGTTTGATGGACACTGTACATACATCTTTTAAATCCTTAATAATTAATTCATGATGAATAATTGGAAAACCACGTCATCAGTAGAACTGCCTTCTTTATACCATTTAGTGTACTTTATTAATGATGTACATATAATTGGAAAACCACGTCATCAGTAGAACCGCCTTCTTTATACCATTTAGTGTACTTTATTAATGATGTACATATAATTACCGATAATTAAAAACAAGGATGTGATATGTGACAAAGACCCCATTCGATTTTGTTACATCATTTCTGTTTATTGGAATTATATAAACTTTACACACATTAAAGTGGTATGTTGTATCTTCTATAGGGTTCTTTTATGCCAGTGATTGTAAAGACGAAGAAGAGTCTGTATTAGCGCTATGTACAAATAAAGACAACAGTGTATTGATTAGTGGAGATACAAAGGGTTATATTTATATCTGGAATATTGAGCAGTACTGTATTCAACCAGCAGAGGAAACTAAGGTAAAATTGAAAGGATTTACAAATTTCCTAGGTAATATTTGTGGAACTATTATTATTACTGGTATATATTTTTACTTTTACTATACTGCTATAATTGTTTTATTATTATTTGAAATATAGTTCATTTTACTTTTAATCCAGCGATTAAATAATAGAAGAAAAATGTATTAAATCAATATTGTGAACCAGAGTCAATGAGGATTTAACCCTTTGAGAGCCAGATATTTTTCCTACCCAAATTCAGTGTAAATATTTACACAATTTGTAAAATTTTCAGTAAATTTCATTATCATTTTGGATCATACAGACAGTTTCAGATATTCCTTTTAGTTTTTGATCAAATGGTTTAACAACATTTCATGTAGGGAGGAGCAGACTACAAAATCATTTTGTAGAAGGTGCCAAAAGTTGACAATGGTGATCATTTTAACTCTTTGAATGCCATAATAAACTTTTGTCATCTTTCACAAAATAAACCAACATAATGTGCCCAGTTTTTTTGTTGTTGAAGATCAAAGGGAAAAAATGTCCAATTGATTCAAAAGCAAAAAAGAATTTACAGATAACTACGCACAAATGTGCAAAATGGTGCACATTGATGGCACCTCAAAGTGTTAAGCCGAGATAGCGATGAGAAGATATGTATATCTTCCTGTTTGTAGCACATCAAATCTGTTGCAAATAATTGCATTGGTGTTTTTTGATATTTCAGAGAGAAAGGCCTCCATTGTTATGTTCATGGCGTGCCCATGAAAAAGCAGTCGTGAGTGTGGACTACATAATCTATGATGAACAATCTTTTATCTTGAGTGCATCCACTGACCAGACAGCTAGACTTTGGACATTGAAAGGTCATTTTGTTGGAACATTTGGTCAAGATGACAAGTGGATTCTTAAGAATCCCTCCACTTGGCAACATCCCAGGTAAGAATCATCTTTTGTTAAAAGTAAAATTACTGGAAATAACACTTAAATTCCTTTTAACTTAGTACAATGAATGGTGTGGTAAATGCTAAAGTATTTTATACTTGTATTTTTTTATCTTTTTATTTCAATTTTGGGCATGTACCCAATCAATTAACGAATTGTCAGATTGAGGAACATATGAAGAAACAGTTATTTATGTGAAAATTGTACAAAAACTAAATTCACATCAAGTGGTTTTGAAGAAACAAATACACTTAAATATGTTTATGTTTTCTGTTTGTAGGACACCCTGGGGCTACGCTGATGAAGGTGGAGTTGGTAAGCAGTAATATGTGTTTATTGGAGGATGTGATGTGGGGGTTATTAGTCCCCGTTCGGACGAAGTCCGAAAACGGGGACTTATAATTCGATCTCCGTCCGTCCGTGTGGAGTCATATCTCAGAATCCCTTGGACCGATCCCGTTCATTCTTTGCATGTGCCTAGTACTTTATGTGGGACATATGCACATGCAGTGGTTTAGCGATTTGATTCAAAATGGTTG